TCATGGCAGATTTAATAGGATCGTTCATCTGTAATATCTGAAGTGCTCAGATGCTACTTAATTGGCAATGAATAATTACTTTGGTAGAGCTCAACATAACCAAAGCTAAGCACTTCCCAAGCTACAGTCTTTCTTGGGAATAAGCCTCAATGAACACAGTGGGGCACACTTCAGAGTGAGCACCAGGGTTTAAATTAGAAGGATTTAGACTAAACGCTGGGAAGAACCATGCAACTGACTGCCTCCGAAGGTGGCAGACTCTCCTTCATTTGAGATCTTGAAACAGAGGCTGGATGTCCACCTGTCAAGCATGCGGGAGTTATGGGTTTCCTGCATCTACAGGCATTGGTTTAGATGACCCTTTCCAAGCCTACAGCTCCATGATTCAAATGCTTTAAACGTTAATGTGGATTATGGCTGTCTTGAAGCAGCATTGAACTGAAAAGAAGAGAATCAATAGAAATATGCATATAGAGGTGATGAAGTTTGCACCCCACCCTTCATCAAAGGAGCTCCATAGTTTGTGTGAGGGAGATTTCACAATGTGTGTGCTATTTCATCCCAGTTACATTTGTCTACTTAAAGAGCATAAAACCATCATTAAAATAGTCAAGGCTTTCCTTCCGCCACTGCCGCCAGTCTAAAGAAGCCCTTGTGAAACCAACACCACTTGTGAGGTTCCCCAGTCTTCCTGCTGTCTTGTTTCACTCTTGCTTCTTTTGCCCCTTTTTAAATAGTGGTTGGAGTGAGTGAGCTGCCTTTGCCTTTCAGTGGGGACCAAATCATTCACAACTGCATGGCAGATTAGATAGTGTACAGCCTCTGCTGAACAGGGCTACCAGGTTACTACCATGTCAATTTAAAACAAAAATTGTCATCCCGGAAGCCACATTCAAGGATTATAAAAGCAATGCCCTTTTGTCTACTTGCTGCTAAAATGTCCTTGGAGCTGAAGGAGTAGAAGCAGAGGGGACCTAGTTTAACGGCTGGTTATTAATTCACAGTTTATCTCCTTGCATTCCTCTTTTATTGATTCTCAGTCCTAGGGCTCATTAACTGGTGCAGAGGAGAGAGAATGCTCTAGAAATCCTGTAAGTTGGGTCAGCTTTCAGTGTATCAGGGTGGGGTGGTGCTTATTTAGAATGTTAGCCTTATTGGGATTTGCATGTTGTTGTTTTTTAAAAAATCTTGAAATGTTTCTGAGTTGTGTCCTGCACAATCTTATGCCTGTCCTGCTGTGTTTAATGGGCCAGGTGAGTATGTATAGGATTGCAGCTTTATAACGTAATCCTATGGACATCTACTCAGAAGTACACTCCCATTGAATTCAATGGAATTTGCTCTCAGGTTAGTGGGTATAATATGGCAGCCATAGAGTTTGAAAATGGTGCGATCAGTTTTGAGTTTTTATGATAGAAGGGCAGAAATATCTAATAAGTGCAGTGCTTCCCAAAACGTGGACTGTGGACCACAATAATCCACAAGCTTCATTCAGGTGGTTCATGACTTGTCTGTAAAAATACAATTTAGAAGCCAAATCATAGAACATCTAGCGCAGTGTGTTACAACAGCTACAACAGGCAGAAAACTCGTTGGGTTATCCGTCAAGACCCTCAGCAATTTTCAAGTGGGCCATGGGCGGGGGTGGAGTTTGGGAATCATTGCAATAACATACCTAATACCAAATTAAACATTAGTTAATTTTTGGGAAAGGATGGCCCAAACCGGAAGCCCTGCATTTTAAAGTTTAATTGGCTTTTATTTTCTTTTTGTATGGTCAGTCTTGAAGGTCCTCGCATTACTGCTCCTTGCCAGCCACTGCTGCCCTACTGGTGTGTCACACTGTCCAAGAGAGCTGAATGACACCCCCCATCCCTGAAAAACCCCACCAAACATAGGCGCCGACTCCATGGGGCCTGAGGGGGCTCGAGCCCCCTCAAAAAATTTTTGGGGGGGCTCAGCCCCCCCAATAATCTCGGGCGCCCTTCCAGCAGAGCGCCGCCGCCGTCCCCCGCCTCCTCCCCACCTGCTCCCTCGCCAGCCAGCCAGCCAGCCGCGCGCCCTAGTCGGAGAGCCCCGGCCGTCCCCCGCGAGATTAGGGAATCCCCGGGGGCGGGGGCTCCTCCCTCGCTGCTTCGCAGCACCACCGCCACTGCCAAGGCACTGCCGGGGGGAATTTCCTTCCTCCTGGCGGTTTCAGCCCCCGCGAGAACAGGGGAATCCCGACTGGCCACACCTCCCAGCCAGCCAATCGGCTGGCTGGGGGGGCGTGGCTTGCCCTATTTAGGGCCGGAGCCACTTTATTTGCATATTCATGAGCTTATTTATTATTCATGAGCTTTCCCGGGCCCCCCCAATATTTTTTATAAGTCCACGTCCCTGCCACCAAACCAAAAGCAGAAAAATGGGGAAAAGTTTTAAAATTCTGGGATTTAAATTCAAAATCTAAACATGAATTTTAACACCAGCATTTCACTGTTCTTTTAGACTTGTGAATATTATTCTGATTTTGACAATTTGCTGAACACCAGATGCTATTGCATGACAGCTATCAATTCATACCAAGGCCATTATCCACCATCTCCACACCCTCTGGGCATAGGAGTTTACTGCTGGCAACCCCATTTCCTACCAATAGCCCTTCTAGGAGTGGTGAGCTGGACATCCTGAATGGTATACATAAAGGGCAGACTGAATAAGGCCCCAGTTATCCTTACTATTTTTTAGTAGTAACAGTAGGTTGCAGTCGCAGTTTATATATCCTGCCCTTTGTCATAGACCCAGTATAAGTTGCAACATCATAACCATAATGCATACAATTATGTAATGAAAAAAAGAGACGTCCCCCCTCACACCAATAACCTGCTCCTTCTCTGCAAGTGCAGCCCCATTCAGAATAGGCCACCTCACCACTTCCTTGACCCAGGGACCACCACTCTGTAGGATCTCTATATCGTCAAAATTCAGCTTCAGGTTATTGACCCTCAGCCACACCATTATTATCTAAGACAGTGTTACCTGTCTTAGATGATGACAGGGAGAAAAAGAGCTGGGTGTCATCATAGTACCGTTATTGAAAAAGGGTAGAGGTGAATGGTTCCTTTTGCTAAGACAGCTCCTCTCTACCTGTTCACAATTTCGAAGGCATCATAGGCTTATTAGCTCAGCAACATTATGGGTACCACTATTAGTTGTACTCTAATGAGACATGCGGGGACATGGGTAGCGCTGTGGTCTAAACCACTGAGCCTAGGGCTTGCTGATTGGAAGGTCGGCGGTTCAAATCCCTGTGATGGGGTGAGCTCCCATTGTTCGGTCCCAGCTTCTGCCCACCTAGCAGTTTGAAAGCACGTGAAAGCGCAAGTAGATAAATAGGTACTGCTCCAGAGGGAAGGTAAACGGCATTTTGTGTGCTGCTCTGGTTCATCAGAAGCGGCTTAGTCATGCTGGCCACATGACCTGGAAGCTGTCTGCAGACAAACGCTGGCTCCCTCAGTGTCATTTGTAACTGGACCTAACAGTCAGGGGTACCTTTACCTTTAATGAGACATGCTACTGTAAAGTCGTGTGATTGGCTCACGGTGCAATTCCTTGGAAGTAAGTCCCCTTGAATTCAATGGACTTTAGTTCTGAGTAGACCTGCATAGAAGGGAACAGAACAAACTGAGTCAGGGTTGCCAGGAGGATGTGCAATCTCATGGGCAGTTGACCCATAGAAATGAATGGGATTTCAATGGGGATTGTGCAGAAGAAACCCTCACTGGATTGCACTCCCTGTCTGCGTGGGGGGGGGATTAGATAATATTATTTTATTTTGCACAATAATTCAAAAGGGAACACTGTAAAAGTCCCAAGTAGCTGACAGCTTAGGCGAAAGAAAAAACAACCCGGTGACAGATGCCAAAATGGACACCACTTGTGTCATAGGTTAAGTAACGATTATTTTATAATGGTGGCTTTATGCAGGAAGCTATAAACATATGACGAACAGGAGAGCATGTCCGTCAGTGCACAGCCGGACTCGGCGGTGTTTACCGCTGGAGAGAGGGAGCGAGAGGATGGATCTGCCTAGATCTCTGCGGATGGCGCGGAGGGACGCGTGTGTAAATGGTCTCCAGGCGCACTCGCTTTTGCGCTTTGGGAATTCCGCGCGAGGGGAGACTCGGGCTGAATCCAGTCGTTGTGACGTTGACAATGGGCTTTACTTTCTCCTGGAATTCTCCTCCCCTCCCCCTGCATGTCATGTAGGTTTCATTGCCGGGCTGCTTCTGTTGCATTTTGGGATTAAGTCAGTCTCTCTCTCTCTCTCTCTCTCTCCCCCACCCTGCTGTCTGTGCCAATTTTAAAACCACGAGCCATGTTCACGGAGATGTTTTTTGTTAAAAAAAAATCCTGGTGGGTGTTTCGCTTTAAAAAAGAGAGCGACAAAAGCCCGCACAAAACAAAACAACCCCCCCCTCGCATCACGAAGCACCTGTTTCTGCAACTCAACCCTGGCACAAGATCCGGCTCGCTGCTTTCGTTCATTTTCCCAGAACCCACGGCCTCCTTCCCTGCCCTCAGCCAAAGATTGCTTTCAGATCTGGGCCGCGATAAAGAACAACAACAACAACGCCAACCATCCCGGCCGAACGCTGGGTTTCAAGAGCAGCCTTTAATCGGCGGGGATCGTGTCCCTCTCGGGCTGCTCCCTATGTCTCGTTGCTCCTCCGATGGAGAACGAAGGAAAACAGAGAAAGAATGAATGGCAAACAGGCGAGCCGGGGTTGCGGGAGGCCGATTTCTGCCGCCTTTCCTTCTTGCCATTTGGGGTCCTTCCTCCCCGGCCCGACCATTAGGCATGCATGTCACTGAGATGTGCTGAGAAAAAGAGAGCGGCTGGGAAAACATCGCTGGATTGGGACTCCAGCCGTATAAGCGAGGGGGGGGGAGCGCGAGAGAGAGGAGAGTGACGGCCAGTGCGTCACGCCATTCAGCAAGTGCCAGGATCGCGCAGGGTTTTTTGCGCGTCCCTCTTGCGCCGCCGCCGCCGCCTCCACGGCCCTTCGAATTGCTCCGCGTCCAAGCAACGCGCGGAGCCCTTCGCCTTCTCTCTCTGTGTGGTGCGAGGAGGACTTGTTGAAGCGGCAGGTCACACGGGCCGCCTGCGTTTTGGCTCCTCCCGCCGCTGCTGCGCCGCTACCTGTAAAGCGCGTCGCTCTCTCGCTCGCCTCCATCTGTTCGAGGCAGCCTCCGAGAAGCGCGCAGGGCCGTTTGGGAGGAGGCGAGGGGGAGCCTGGAGAGAGCCCCGAGACCAGGCAGCAGCTTGGCCCGGCAGGAGCCGTCCGTGCTCGGCCTCCAGCCGTGAGGGGAGCCCCTTCTTCTTCTTCTTGGGGAGCCGAAGCCGCCGCCGCCGCCTCCTCAGCGGCCGAATCACAAGGCGCCGCTTTCCTCCCGCGCGCCCGGCGAGTCTCCTACGCCAGCTGCCCGGGAAGCTGAGGCGCGCAGCAACGGCGGGCTGGGCGCGTTGCTAACGGGCGGCGAGGAGGGAGGAGGCGGCCGTGTAGCAGCAGCAGCAGCAGCAGCAGCCGAGGATGGCAAGCGAGGCGGCGGCCGCCGCAGCGACGACGACGCAAGCCCGGCTGGGCGAGTGGAGGAGGCTGAATTAGGAGAGAGGAAGGGGCTGGACTTGCCGGAGGGAGACGCCGAACGAGCAGGGCTGCGTGGGCTCACTCTCCGGTCGGTGGAGAGAGAGAGAGGGCGCGACTGACGAGGGCTCGCTCTCCGCCTTGGCGCTCAAATCGTGAGGCGACCAAGGGACGAATCCCGGATCTCGGCCGGGACCTGCGCGCGTCTGCCCGCCTTCTCCCCTTCGTGGCGGGCGTTGTGAGGTGCCGGCGCGAGGGGTGGCTGCTGGCTTGATTTCGGGGAGGGGGGTGGGGGAAGGGGGAGCCGCTGATTTGGCCACCGGGAGGAGGCGGCGGCGGCGGCGCCTTTATTTCCCGCTCGGTTCCCTTGCGCCGGAATCTTGGAAGGCGGCGGCGAGGGCGCCAGAGCGAGAGGTGCCGAGCGGCGGCCGCCTGCCTGGACGTGCGCTGAGGCTCGGCTTGCGCGCCTCCCCGCCGAAGAGCAGCGCTATGGCTGGGGATGGGCTTGGCCGAGGGCGCTGGCGGCGGCAGCAGCAGCAGCGGGAGCTCCCCGGGGCCCCGGCGGCGCGCCCTGCCCGCTGTTAGCCATGGCAAATGGCAGCGGCGGCGGCGGAGGAGGCGGCGGCGGCGGCGGCGGCTCCAGCGGCTCCAGTAGCTACTACTCGGGAGGAGGAGGCGGCGGCAGCGGCGGCATTAAGATGAACAGCCCCATCAGCGCCAGCAGCAACCTGAACGCGGACTCCTCCTCGGCGCCCGCCAAGGCGATCAACGCGGTCATCATCCCCATGACCATGGAGGTCCCCTGCGACAGCGGGCAGCGCATGTGGTGGGCCTTCCTGGCCTCGTCCATGGTCACCTTTTTCGGGGGACTCTTTATTATCCTGCTCTGGAGGACCCTCAAGTACCTGTGGACCGTCTGCTGCCACTGTGGGGGCAAGGAGAAGGTAACGGTTTCTCTTCCTTCCCGGGTTCTCCCGCTTGAGGGCCGCTTCACACGTTGCCTAGTGCGGGGCTGGAAGCTGAGGTCGTGCAAAGCGCGCACGTTCGTGTGTCTTGCAGTTGTCTTCTCCAGGGAGCTGCTACTGGCCGTGCAGTGGGGGGAAGGCGAGGGTTTACACCTGCAGAATGTGTGAAGCGGCCCTTCTATCCCTGGTATTATTTGCAACTCATTTCAGGGAAACTTACAAATAAACTGTATGTTAAGATTGCAGCCGTGCAGCTGGAGCCTTTGCGTGTTGACAGGGAAATGGGTCCCAGTGAGTTCAGAGGCTTCATTCTTGAGGGCATCTGCTTAGGAGAGCAAGTGCTTTTGAATGTCACATGCAGCTCAGTCCTAAACCTGTTTCTTCAGAAGCCCTTCTTTCAAAGGACTCAGGGACTGCAGCCTTAGTCCCAAGTAAACTGCAAGGGATGGGAAGATTCATTTTCTTTCCTTCACTTCTTTTAGTCCTTTCTAATTTACTGTGTCCCTTCTCCATGTTTTCCCCATGCCCCTTTGTTTACTATTCTCTTCATTTCCCCCTTCCATTTTCCCTTTCTTCCTCTTCTGATACTGTTTTCCATATATTGAGTTTTAGCGTTAATAGAAGTCAGAGTAGTAACATCAAAGGTTTATTGTTACTCTAACACAATGACAGTAATTCAACCTCCTGCCTTCTAACCACCATCAGTTCAGCAAGAGTTGTTTGTTGTGTGGTTGCTGCCCCAGGTTGCCTCCTGCTTCTTTGGTACTAGGAGAGCGGAGGGCCTTGGTTGTTGTTGCTGCATGAAAAGTTAAAGAAATCCTCAAAAGGCAATAGCCTCAGATTCTGGATAAAACTGTGTTGGACCAGCAGTTCAGTAGTGGCCATGGGTGAGTTGAGGTTCAAAGGTTGAGACTTCTTTTGTCTGAAGTGGACAGGGAGTCTTCAGAACAGTGGTGGTGGTTCCTCTTTTCCTTGTTGAATGATGGCTTCAGCTACTCCTCCCCACCTCACACAAACAGGCTGAGAAGGAAACACACCTTGGCAGTAATAAACTTGCGACCCAATTTGCTCTATTATTGCTGCCAGGTCTCTCTTGCACTCCGATGGGTTTGACTTTCTAACGGCAAGTACTGTCGATTTTGCTATGTCCAAATCACATTTTGTTTGGTTCAGCCATAAATGGTAACAAATCAATGGATAAACTAGCTAACAACATGGATTTGGTGGCCCCCAAAGTTACAAATGGTAACTCAGAATATGTATAATCCAATTCAAGAGTTTTACTGCAAATTCATGTTAGATCTAATGACAGTGAATGCATTTTGGTGAGGAAAGGGGGGATTCGGGATTTGCCATTTGTAATACTTGCCAGAAGTGATGGCAGACTGTGAAAATACATGTAAACAGAACACAAAGAAGACATTTAAATGGGTGAATATTCCTGAAACAATCACACACTGCCCACCCCTTCTCATTCACCCCTGTTTCTTCCCATTTAATCAAAATCTGTAAGGTCAGAATTCAAATTGAGCCACTCTGTATGGCTCTTTCCCGCCTTCTTTGTAAGCAGAATCCATGTGGAATTGTCATCTGCCATGGAGGGAGAATCCCATAAGCACTGTAGAGGCAGAAACATTTTAGCTTGCCAGAAGTATTGTTGTGGAAGAGACCTGGCCACATTGCCCCCCTTAAGGTGACTGCTGAAAACTGTCAAGTAAAATAACTGAGCAATAGGTGGTGGTGGGAAACAGGTCTGAATCCACACACAGATATCGATGGAGCCAGGATTTTGAGTATCTCATCCTCTCTGAAATCCATGGGATCCTTGCCCATTGCATTCCGTTAACTCAAGACATTTGGGACTTCGGCTGTCCGGAAACACATTTTGGGCAGAATCCTGTGAGGAGTTACTCCCATGCAAGCTCCGTTGAAAGAAGCAGAGAGCTACAGAGGAGCACACAGCTGTTGTTTCTTTTGCTGGTGCTTGTGCAGGAAGGCTTCCCACAGGACTGTGCTGATTGATTTCAGTGGGCCAAATATTTTGTGGTCTCTCCAGTTACTTTGGGTGCAAGCCCTCCATTGATTCCAATGGAATTTACTTTTGCATTTGTGTGTTACGCTCCCATACTTGGGCTACAGCCAACCTAGGACTGGTCTTGGAAATATTGTCCCTGATCCAGAGAAAGCTGCTCACTCCTGAGACCCACTGAAATGGCAGCTCACAACTAACTTGTGCTGTTGATTTCAGTGGGACGGAAGCACAACTAGGACTGCAGTCCTAAACCACACTTATTAGGGAGCAAGTGCATGGAACACAGTGAGAATTAGCTTTCTGTAGACTTTCAAAGGATTGCTATGTAAATTTCTCTGGACTGGGTCAGTTGGTGGCTATCCTGTGCATAGTTGGGTTACTCCTATCCCATTGACTTTTTAAAGCAGCCTTATTGTGTTCAGGATTATAGCCTTAGTCCCATGATGTTCAGACACTGCCTCTAGAGCCCTCTGCCCTCCACTTGAGCAAAGATGTCGCATACCACTTACGCAAAACAAGCCATACTGCGCCATGAGCTACACTGAGCAAGTCAGCCAGCCGCTGCGTTTTGCTGCCCAACTCCATCTCCTGCTCATTGTGTGTAGGTCTCTGCTGCTGTGAGACTAGAAGTAAAAAAATAAGACTGGAAAGCCAACACCTGCGGAAAATCCACACCTCTCCCCAATGTTTCATGTGTTATACCAGTGATGCAGAACCTTTGGCTCTCTGGATGTTGCTTAACTACAGCTCCCATCAGCCCATGCAAGCATTGCCAATGGCCGGGGGTGATTGGAGTTGTAGTTCAGCAACATGTGGAGGGCCAAAGGTTCTCCATCAAATCTGGCAAATGATGGAACATGGTATAAGCAAGATTTCTTGGTTTGTGCTTCTTCTGTTCCCCGTACACCTGAGGGCGATGGGGGCGACCACTGCTGAAAGGTGAAATGATAACAAAGTTGTCTCAAGGCAGCTTATTTTTCATATATATTTGTGTGAACCTGTTGACTTGGCTAATTGTTATCCTTCTGCATTGGTGACACCCTCTTGGTTGTCCCTCCCTGGGTCCATTAGCACATGCATGCCATTGCCAGATGTGGAGATCGGCATGTGAATGGACTCAGTTGCATTTGAGATGTGAAAGTCTCCTTTCTCATCAAGTGATGAGCAGATATGTGTGAATCAGCCCAGTGAATGTGAGCAGCGCCAACCCTGCCATCTCCCTTCCTCCTCAACCTTTAGAGGCCCACTAAAACCTGGAGCATGTCAGCTTTGACAAAACATCCATCAAGAAAAAGCTCAAAAGGGATGTCTCAGGGAAGCAAAGTGTTGCCTCTTCACTGCCAACTTCCTGTAAAGGGATGACTCTACTCTTGCTAAGGACTTTAACATCATGCCAACTTTTTCGTTCTCACCCCCCTCCCACTTCCCCTTTGCTTAATACATAGCCTGATGAAGAGTTCTGGAGAACTCAAAACCTTGATTGTTATTTTGTGATGCTTGGGTAGGTCCTAATAAATATATTTCCCCACTGTGGATTTGAGATTCTTGTCAAGGCAAACAGTGAAGCCAACAGCCATTTCCTGCTCAGTGGGATTACTCCAAACAATGTGTAATGTGGCTTACAGCTGCCTTGTTAGGATTTACCCTTCCAGTTTTATTATGTATAGCTACCCAGAAGGTAAAATATGCTTCAAATGCCATCCGATTTTGAAGGTTAGGAAACAGAGTATAATGAGGATCCCCACCCACCCACCCCAGTCCTTGTAAGAATGCTTTTTAGCTAAAAGAGTGTTAATGCTCTATATTTGCTAACGTGGCATCTGACAGGCTATTTGGACCCTCCAAAATAGACCAGCAGCTGGAGTTTCTCCCTTCCCCTTTTCACATTTTTCGGATTACGAATGGAAGAATAGATCTGCTTCAGCTATTCCTGGCACCCAGCTACACAAAAAGCACCCAAACCTTTTAAATATATATGGTTGCTAGGTTGCTGTCATGATTTGACATTCAGCTATCGGCTTCCCCTGCTTCCCCCAAGATATGGCATAACCTGGCTGTGCAAACGTGGATTCATTTTTATTTATAATTTGAAAGTGGTGATGAAGTAGGGATGTATGCGTGTCTGTGTGATGACAGAAATAACACTGCTATGCTGAGAATTATGAATGCAACCTTGAGAAAGTTAGGTGCATCTAAATCCCATCAAAATAGGTGGGAGCTCAAGTATGCTTTATGCTTTGCATCTTGTGCAATTACTTACTAATTTCTGAGTTGTTGTTTTTTGGGGGGAGGGTGTAGTTAAGTTGTAGAATGCTCAGAGTTTCCTAAAAGTGCCTGTGATCTTCCAGCAGACGAATTGCCATCATTTCAAACTGGTTTTACTCTGGAAAGGATGCTAGCATAAGCTATGGGGTAATTTGAAGCTTTAAAATTCATTTTGACTTGCTAAGTAAATAACAGGAATAGCCTTTTCCTGCTGAAGAGATTCTTTTTGTGGAAGGGAAATGGAAATATGAGTTTTTGGAAAGGAAGATTTGTTGGGGCTGTAACAATCGTCTCTATTTATATGATGACAAATGTATATTTTTGAGGAGAACTGGCTCCTCAAAAAGGAAAGCCAAAAAGCTAGATAGGTCTGAAGGAGTTCCCTCTCTTTCTCTCTCTCTCTATGTTTAAAGGTAAAGGTAAAGGGATTGCGGTGCTCATCTCGCTTTATTGGCCGAGGGAGCCGGCGTACAGCTTCTGGGTCATGTGGCCAGCATGACTAAGCCGCTTCTGGTGAACCAGAGCAGCGCACGGAAACACCATTTACCTTCCCACCACAGCGGTACCTATTTATCTACTTGTACTTTGACGAACTGCTAGGTTGGCAGGAGCAGGGACCGAGCAACGGGAGCTCACCCCATCGTGGGGATTTGAACTGCTGACCTTCTGATTGGCAAGCCCT